AAAATACATACAGTAAAATCTAATTTTACTTGACCTCAGCTTCTGTGTATTTGTTTTATTATATTTCTGATAAATTTGAACCAGTAAGGCTGCTCTCTGCAAACTGCTTAGGAGCAGATAACACAAAACGGAGTGCAATGAAATATGAATTGTATTAATATTAATACAAATTGATCAGATGACAACCATCACTGAGTAACCCTGAGTAGTGACCTCAGAGATGTTCTTTTATTATAGATTCAAATTTATTCAGTGACAAACCAAATTCCAAAAAAGTTGGAACAGTAGGTAAAATGCAAATAATAACATAAAGCATTTATAAATCTATTTTAAGCTGTATTTGAACCAAAACAGTACAAAGACAAGATATTCAATGTTTTATTTTATCATTGTTTGGCTCATTCTGAAATTGAAAAATGCAACACTTTATAAATATGTTGGGACAATATAAGACTAAATTATTGTGAAATATTTCAAAAACATTTTAAACATTTTTGGATATAAAAGGAGCATCCAGTAAAGGTCAAGTGCTTTAGGAGCCAGGTTGGGTTGTGGCTCGCCACTTTGCCAAAATGCATCAGCAACAAATCCAACAGTTTAAAAAGTAACATTCCCTCAGCAAAAGATAGAAGAGAATTATGGTCAAAAGCTACAAATAAATGTCTGTGACCTTTGACCTTTCAAATAGCACTACATTAAAACTAACGTGTTTTGTGATGGATATCACCCAATTTGCTCAGGAATACTTTGACAAACTGTTGTCAATAAGCACCATCTGTAGCTGCATCCATAAATACATTACACAGTGGAAGTCATATGTCAATAGTGTTCAGAAACACAACTGACTTCTCTGGGCTTGAGGTCATCTGAAATGGCCTGATGCACCTTGAAAATGTGCATTGTGGTCTGATGAGTCAACCTTTCAGATTGTTTATGGAAATAACTGATGTTGTGCTCCCTAAAACAAAAAAAAAGGACCATCCTAATTGTTAGCAGCAGAATGTTCAAAACTAGGGCCTGTCATAGCATGAGGGGATATTCTTTGGTATCCTGCCAGATGCACCCATGTTTATTTCAACACCAAGCCACATTCTGCTTGACTTACAACAGCATGGTTGCATAATCAGTGAAAGCTGGGGCACTAAACTGGCCTGCCTGCAGACCAGAACTCTCTGATTTAAAATAGAATAAATATGTAATAAATATATCTTATTCAGCTGAAAATATGACATCAAAGGCGTCAATATGGTTGTACAGCTGATGACGTGTATAACAGAAGAATAGCAAAAAATTCTTTAGTTCCCAGATGATTATTAAATGCTGTTATCAGGGCAGATGATGTAACACAGTAAACATGCTCCCAGCTTTTTTGCAACATGTTGCAGGCATCAAATTTGAAATATGCATATATTTGCAAAAACAATGAAGTTCATTTAAAATGTATGTTTTAAGTATGCTAAATTCTCATTATATCTAATGCTTTATGTGTCAATATTACAACACAATATGATAAGCATAAATACTGTCATATAGTATCTTGTACATCTGCAGTGTAGACAAATTCATTGCACATTACAGTGGCAGTTTTTATTCCTCTCTGTTTGTCATTGAAATTATTCTACGATCTGCATGCTGCTAAAATATTTTAGCAAAATACCTGGTCCCAATTTATATTGTTTATTATAACTGTGTAATTACACATTAACAATGCATGCAAAACAATGTAAGTACTAGAAATGAATCCCCTGTTACAGATGGATTATTTTAGTACAGATGATGCAAATACATATGTATTAGCAAATACACAAATGTACAGTATCTCACAAAAGTGAGTACACCCCTCACATTTCTGCAAATATTTTATTATATCTTTTAATGGAAAACACTATAGAAATGAAACTTGTATATAACTTAAAGTAGTCTGTGTACAGCTTGTATAGCAGTATAGATTTACTGTCCTCTGAAAATAACTCAACACACAGCCATTAATGTGTAAATAGCTGGCAACACAAGTGAGTACACCTCACAGTGAACATGTCCAAATTGTTGTCATCTTGCAGGTGTGTTTGGGGTCGTTATTGTGTTGGAAAACTGCCATGCGGCACAGTTACCAAAGGGAGGGGATCATGCTCTGCCTCAGAATGTCACAGTAGCTGCTGGAATTCATGTTTCCCTCAATGAACCGCCGCTCTCCAGTGCCGGCAGCACTCATTCAGCCCCAGACCATGATGCTACCACCACCATGCTTGACTGTAGGCAAAAGACAGTTTTCTTGGTACTCCTCACCAGGGCACCACCACACATGCTGGACACCATCTGAGCCAAACAAGTTTATCTTGGTCTCGTCAGACCACAGGACATGGTTCCAGTAATCCATGTTCTTGGACTGCTTGTCTTCAGCAAACTGTTTGCAGGCTTTCTTGTATGTCAACTAAAGAAGAGGCTTCCTTCTGGGACGATGGCCATGCAGATCGAGTTGATGCATTGTGTGGCGTATGGTCTGAGCACTGACAGGCTGACCTCCCACTTCTTCAACCTCTGCAGCAATGCTGGCAGCACTCATGCGTCTATTTTTTGAAGCCAACCTCTGGATATGATGCTAAACACGTGGACTCAACTTCTTTGGTCGACCCTGCCGAGGCCCATTCCGAGTGGAACCTGTCCTGGAAAATCGCTGTGTGACCTTGGCCACTGTGCTATAACTCAGTTTCAGGGTGTTAGCAATCTTCATATAGCCTAGCCCATCTTTGTGAAGAGCAACAATTCTATTTCTCACATCCTCAGAAAGTTCTTTGCCATGTGGTGCCATGTTGAATATCCAGTGGCCAGTATGAGAGAATTGTACCCAAAACACCAAATTTAACAGCCCTGCTCCCCATTCATACCTGGAACCTTGTAAGCCTAATGAGTCACATGACACCAGGGAGGGACAATGACACAGTTGGGCACAATTTGCACATGTTCACTGTGAGGTGTACTCAGTTGTGTTGCCAGCTATTTACACATTCATGGTTGTGTGTTGAGTTATTTTCAGAGGACAGTAAATCTATACTGCTATACAAGCTGCACACTGACTACTTTAAGTTATATCCAAGTTTCATTTCTATAGTCTTGTCTCATGAAAAGATATAATAAAATATTTGCAGAAATGTGAGGGGTGTACTCACTTTTGTGAGATACTGAAACTGATCACCACAATGATTTATCAGTCTGCTCAGGTTTAAGCAGAGCTCAGTAACACTGAAATTAATAACTGAAAAGCATATTGATTTATCAGTCAACTCAGGCTTTAGCAAAGCTCATTAACACTGACCTAAATTAAAGCCTTTCGGTAAAATTATGCTTAAGATCAATCGACACAGAGCTGTGCCAGATGTGCAAGCAGTACTCAGGAAAGGGAGAGGATCAAGAGGTATTATTATAGATGTATGCTGGATCATTGAAAAGCCAAGGAGTTCAAGAAGGCAATCAACGTGTTCCATTGACCACTACCAATTACCTAGCAATCATTGCAAACACTACTGTAACCACTTAACAACACTCTAGCAACCACTTGAAATACTATAGCAACCACCTTGGATACAACTGCATGACAACACTCGAGCAACCAGCTGGAGTACCATAGCAACTGCCAAGGAACACCTTAGCAACCACTTGGAACACCATCTCAACCACCCTATCAACCAAATCACTGAAAATAACCGAAAAACGACTGGTCACAGCGCAACACAGCACTAACACAGCATAAACAACCCTCTACATTTAACCATTCAATACCATATAAACCCAATACAGTCTACAACTGCTTTAACTTTTCCACATTATTAGCTGGCTTTATCAAGCCAACTTAAAGCTTGTACATGAAATTCTGCCCTTCTAGATTTTGATCTCTTGTTTTATTTTAGTTTAATCTGTTGTTTTTTAAGCATTTTGAATTGTTTATGAATTGTGCTAAATAAATAAACTTGTAGAAATGAGGCCCAGTACCCACACCATTTATCCTTCCCCTGATTTAGACAGCTAATGAGAGTTGTGGTCTTTTTTAAACAAAAACAACACCCAGAAAATGACCTTTTCTTCATAAGATTAAGCTAGGGCAGGATTATGGGGCCCGAGGTCAAGTTAAAGTTAATTTCTCACAGAACTCTGTGTGGTTTCCAACTTGTTAAATTCTTAGAACTACAGTTACCACAGAGAAGAACTGAATGTTACACAATTTCCCTGAGACATAAAGTTTGTCATCATCAGCTCTGCAGCCACTGACAGGTAAGTCGTTTCCATTCAAATACAAACCTGATGTTCTTTATGCCAGTTTTATTTTGCTTTTACTGATGTAAATTGCCTTTGTGTTTAAAATGTGCAGTAAAAGTAGACTTTTCCTCACCTTGCTTATATGATGCCCAGGGGCCAATGAGAGTAGTGCTCTTTAGCATACCTTTCAGAATATACAGAATATAATCAAGATTTTTATGTTGTTCCTGTCTGTAAAAGGGAAAGACTGGACAACACTGGACAACATCAGCTTGTCTATTTATCTCTGCACAATTGAATTTGACTTGGGTTATTTGATTCAGATGTGAGAGTTCAGCAGTACAGATGCCAAATTTCAGTGCATAGTGTAGCAATCCTGTAAATTTCACGTTATATACCTTACAAGTTTATACAGTCATATGCACCCCTAGTTTGTGCGCCCCTAGTCAAATGAGGTTTTGTTTATTTCCTAAGGGGAAAATAATACACTTCTGCACATTTTAAAGCACAGTTTCTGTTTATTTCACTAAATTTATCATACTGGAAAAAATGTGAGCTGTGCATAACGTAGGGCACATTTTTTCCAATCCAAGTTAAACTCTTCAAATAAATAAACATTTGCCAAAAGATGTATGCCTTGTAGAGGATGTGTTAACTTCCAACAAACCAATTAAATGCTCCTTTCTTATCAGTAGGCAAGAGAAGCACACTTTTCTATTTGTGTTTGCTGCACAGAATCAAGAGGCATCATGAATTCAACCCCAGTGACACAGACAGAATATGCTGACTACAAGAACTACACCACAAGTTCCTCATCTTGCAGGGATGTGATGTGTATTTCTTATGCAGTAGCAAATGTGATCATATGTGTCCTGAGTGCTGCTGGAAATGATTTGGTGATCTGGATTGCAGGATTTAAGGTGAAGAAGTCAGTCGTCACCACCTGGTACCCGAGCCTGGCAGTGTCTGACTTCATATTCTCCTGCACTCTGCCCTTCAGGGTTGTCTATGGGGTTGAAAAAGAGTGGTTCTTCAGGCGCTTCATGTGCAAGTTCAGTTGCTTCATGATGTGGCTCAACATGTACAGCAGCATCTTCCTCCTCGTCATCATCAGTGTGGACTGCTGTGTACTTGTCATATTTCCTGTGTGGGCTCAGAACAAGCACACCAAAAGAAATGCCTTAGTGATAGACATGCTAGCTTGGATCATTGCAGCAACATTAAGTGCACCATCGGCTGTTTTTCGAGACATTCGTTATGATCACTACTACCAGACTACAATATGTATTAAATCTTGAAACCTGCCTTCTTGTACAAATTTTGCATTCCACCCTCAGTGGTGCAGCGGTAACAGACCAGAACGTAACCACTGCATCATTTAAGGTGGAAAGGAAAATCTGAAGAAGTCAACTTTACCCTTGTATTTTCTGCCACTTTTCCAGTGTAGCACAATAGCAAAATGAGGTGAAATAGCTAAAATGCAGGTAGCGTAACTGAACACATTTGAATTGTCCAGAACTGCTGTTTGGAAAAGAAATGCAACGCTCAGAGATCCCCTGCTGCAATACTGTCCCTCTGTGCCTGAGTTCTGAGTGACTGGGCCTTTTTACACCCTGCATTAACATGTGATTAGGGGACTGGATCATATTTGGTTTTCACTTAAATACATGATGTGACAAGTGACTCACCCCCTGTGCTGATCAAACCAGCGATCTTGTGAACAGTATACAGAAGTGCTAAGGGGTGAACTACTAGTCTGCCATGAGATGGTAGGACTCAAGTACAAAAACAAAGACTCTCTAAGGATCAAACCAGCAACACCAAGTAGAGAAGGTGAGTACATTACCACTGAACTCCTGCAGCAATCCTGGAGGGAAGCTCACAGAGGGGTTGATAAACAAGAGGGGAGAAGACAAAGGCCAAACAAAAGAAATGCCAGGACAGCATCATCAAACAAAAGAGGGCTTCTACAAACTTCAGCGGACAGGAGTCAGGACAGGAGCGGTAGAAGCTGGGAGTTTTAACTCGAAAAGGACAGAGGTCCCAAGTCACTAACTCCAGAAAGTAAGAGATACCTGAAAATGACCACCTTGGCCAAGATACACACGTGCATAGCAGCATGAACTCAAGACTGAGCACAGCACAACATGTGAGCACTCCTCTAGGCTTCCAACCACGTTTGGAAGAGGTCAAAGGCGGATCTTGAATACGTTACACAATCCTAAATGGAAAGCTATATTGTTATTTAGATAGAATGACATGAGTGGAAATGAGTCTGCTGAGCACTGAGATAATAATAGAATGAGAAAATAAACAAGGAAAGGAAAGATGAAGCATATACCAGGATGTAATTCCCCAAACCAAGAACCTTTTTGCACTCCAGGCCGATGAAAGGATGCAAACTGAGGTTGTATCGTAATGGGGAAAAAGTGATCAAACGTAAAACAGAAATGACATATGTGCAGACATCATTTCTATGTGGGAAAATTACAGTCGGCCAAAGTTTATACAGATACATGAAATTGAAACATATATTAATGAAATAAGCTTACTGTCTCACTAACCCAGCAGTCGCTTTATTGGGTAGTGTGAAACATTTAAGTCTTTAATAGAATAAAGTCCTCTTTCAGTGTTTCTCTGAAGCCAACCTACATGTGCCCATCCTCAGTGTGTATGTCTGAGACGCTAACATAACAACATCAGTTCATTTTATCATGTTGGTCTGTATCCTGTAGCAAATCAAAATATCATGGATGGAGTCATGATGTTACTTCGATAGCTGGTGGGAAGTTTTATAAAAATCCGCCTTTCAATTCAGCCACTGCTAACATAGCTAAGACTGTTGAATCACAGTTGGATGTTACTGTTAATCTAAATGGAGCCTCATCTAGAAGAAATGTCAGGACAATCTTTCATATTAGATACTATTTGTAACAAATGAGCAAAGATTTGTTGACTTGGTGTTTGTTATTTTTCCTAAAGACACACAGTTATGTCTGGTTTTCTCATTAGATAATTACAGTCTCAATGTGACTCACTGTGTCAACGTTTGGAGTAAATAACTGAATGAGCCAGAATTTCCTCAGTTTGATAAGGACATAATAGTTATCTTATCTTTGGTAACAAAGATAAGAGATTCAGTATTAACAAACAACTCATTTCTCGGGCTCTAAAAACCAGAGACCAAGTCTGAAATCTTGGTGTTCTAATAGACTTAGAAGTCCCATTTACTAGCCTGTCAAAGCAATCACGAAAATAGCCTTCTATCATCTTAGAAATATAGCTAAAATCAAGGGTTTGGTGTCCTGGTAAGACCTAGGGAAGCTCATCCAGCTTTATTTCCAGTAGGATGGACTACTTTAACGATCTCTTAAATGGACTTCCCAAAAAAAAAAAAGAAAAAAAAGAAAACTACAGCTTGTTCAGAACGCTGCTGCTAGAATTTGTCCCAGGACTAAAAGAACAGAGCACATTACGCCAGTTCTAAAATCTTTAAACTGGCTCCCAGTTAGTTGCAGAATAGCTTTTAAAGTGCTGCTATTAGTCTATAAATCACTGAATGGTTTAGACCTAGAATATATCTCTTATATACTTAAATAGTATAAACCAAGTAGGTATCTTAGATCTATGGATACAGGTCAGGTAATAGAGGCCAGAGTTCAAACAAAACATGGTAAAGCAGCATTTAGCTGTTATGCTGCTACAACTGGAACTGCAAGATCTCAGATGTGCACTAATGTAACAATTTTCAGGTTCAGGTCACAAACATTTCTCTTTTTATATGCCTATGATTGATGATGATGATGTGCCTGTAAACTCTTTTCACTTTATTTTTTCTGCACTTTGCCTTTCTCTTTATTCCCTTTTGTGTTTTACCATGTTCTTATGGAACTTTATCTTCTATAAGCTAATTTAATGGCTCTTAATTATATCTTTGCCTTAATTCCTTGTTATATTTTACTTTATACTTTCTTTGAATTATTCTTTTGTACAATTTTATAAATTGCATGTACTTTCTTTTAATTCCTTATTCGTAAAGTTTGATTCAATTTAAAATTTTGATTTATATGAAATCTAATTGTTCTCCTAAGCACCTGTTTGGAGGTTTTAAAAGGTTTGCTAGCACAGGTATACCAAAAATTTATTAACAGCTTAGAGGCTGGTATTACTTCAAAGTAATCAATGGCTGCTATTCAGTGGGTTGTTGCTCTTCCTCACTTAAGGTGCTGGAAATGACTTGAGTACATCTAAATGTTAAAGTACACATACAATGCTGCCTCCAGAGCTTCATCCATTCAGCCGGTTTTAAAGGCAGTGAAGATTCCCGGCTCCACTCCTCATGTGCCAAATCAGAATCACACCTGATTTAATCCATCAGCTAATTAGCAAGGCCTTCATGAACTGGATCCAGAATGCCAGATGAGGGTAAACACTAACCTCTGCAGCACTTTGGCCTGGAAGGTCCCCAGTATGCCTAGTGGAGATGCATCGTTTGTTACCTTAAATGTCCCATTATCCTTTGTGTCAGCACTGATGCAGTTAGGAAAAAATATCAGATAAAAACAGCACATGCACAGTGGAGGAGAGTTTTGTTTACAAGTAGAGTACTTTTTCTTGGTTACAAAAAGTTTAGCCTGCTAGCCTTCTGTGTAAAAGACTGCTTTTTCTGAATAAAAAAATGATAATGTCTAACATTAAAAACTAGCAGTGAGCTTTCATACACTATATGGACAAAAGTATTGGGACACTGCTCCTAATTATTGACTTCAGGTGTTTCAGCCACACTCATTGCTAACAGTTTGATAAAATTAAGAACACAGCCTTGCAGTCTCGATAGACAAACATTGGCAGTAGAATGGGTCGCACTGATGAGCTCAGTGACTTTAAACATGGCACTGTTACAGAATGCCACCTCTGCCAAAAGTCAGTTTGAGAAATTTCTGTCCTGCTGTCAACTGTAAATGCTGTTACTGTGAAATGGAAGCAGCTAGGAGTAACAACAGTTCAGTCACAAAGCTTTAGACCATGCAAACTCACAGAGTGAGGCCACGAAGTGCTGAAGTGCACAGTGCCTTCTTCTTTTGTATCACTCACTAAAGAGTTCGAAATGGCCTCTGGAAGCAACATCAGCAAAAGTAGCCTCACGAAACGCATTTCCATGGTTGTGCAGCTACACACAAGCATAAGATCTAGAGCATTAGATCACAAGCATTGGGGGGAGTTAAGGACGCCTCCACTGGACTCTGGAGCAGTGGAAATGTATTCTGTTTAATGATGAATCACGCTTCTCTATCTGGCAGTCTGATGGATGAGTGTGGGTTTGGCGAATGTCGGGAGAACATTTCCTGTCCGACTGCATTGTAACAACTGTAAAGTTTTGTGGAGGAGGGATAATGCTATGGGCTTGTTTTTCAGGGTTTGGCCCCTTAGTTCCAGTGAAGGGAAATCTTAATGCTTCAGCAGACCAAGATATTTTGGACAATTGTATACTTAATATTTGTAAGCTGTTACTTTATACTTTGCTGTCTGGCTGCTTTATCAGTAGGATAATGAGCTACATGTAGTGTGGGTAGCCTAACTGTTAATATTAACATTAAATATTGTCTTAGTGTTAATGCACTGATAAAAGCAATGCATTTAATTTAATTGATTCAAATGTTTACAAAATTACCTCATGATGCAAAAACAGAAAATGAAATTTTTGTTTACTTTTAAGTAATTCATTTCATTTTAATATATGCAAAGAAGAACATTGTTGACCACTGTTTTATTTTGTCCTTTTGTCACCACAATAATTTCAATATGTCTAACTTGGCGACCCCATTTTGAAACTGTAGGCTAGGCCAGGGCTCAGCAACACGTGGCTCTGGAGCTGTATGCAGCCCTTTTACTGCCCTGTTGCAGCTCCAAAGCAGAATTAGATTTTTAGGTAAAAATAAAATAATCCTCCTTTGCAGTTAAATAAAGCTCTGCTGATTGTTCAACACAGTTAAACAATAAATGGTCTTAAACGCTGGAGTTAATGTATAACTGCTAATTCACCCTTTAACCCTGAAGGTTGGCACACAGATTGCTAGTCACCGTAGCAACAATAACAATCTGGCCTAATAGCTAACGAAAAGGCAAAGAGAGAGATTTAAGATGAACATTGATAATTTGGTGACAAAAAGACTTATTTGCATTTATAAGCTCCCAGCTGGTTTCCTGATACGTTTAATCTGCAGCGACAAACTGTCAAACACTAAAAGTTGTGAAGGTGAAGTCAGCTTCTTGTTCAAATTTTTCTGCTCCACCTTAAATAGGGCAGCAGTTCTGGTGCCTTAGGCACCATTTAAGGTGGAACAGGAAAATTCTAACAAAAAGATGGTGAATGAAAAGCTGACTTAAGCCTTGTAAAAAGATAAACATTGAGAGACATTTTAAAAGGAATTATTCTACTTTTGCAAAAACATTTTTCACTGGAGATGCGAGGAAATTGGATATAGCCGAGCTAAAACTTAAAGTATAGCAAAGTGTGTCTGCATTTTCATTTATATTATATTTTTAGCCTACACTAGTACTACTGAGACATATTTACAGCCAAGATGGTAAAATGAACATAAAATGTTGTGGCTCCCAAAGTGGTTTAATGTTTGTTGAAAGGACAAAATGGATCTCCTCACAGAACTCTTTAATTTAAAACTTATGTCTTATTAACCAGAAAATATGACATAAAAATCTACAATACGGTTGTACAGCTGAAGACTATAACAGAAGAATGGCAAAAAATTCTGCTTTCAAAAATAGATCAGCTTATGTCTTCAGGTGCCTTTATCTTTTTTCAGAGGCTTTTTGCAGGCTTCAAATTTAGAACATGTATATATTTACAAAAACAATTCAAAACACAGTTCATTTGAGATGTAAATCTCAAATATGCAAAAGTCTCATAATATCTGATGCTTAATATGTCAATATAACACAATATTATTAGCAGAAAAACTGCCATACATTTATTCCTTATAAATGTGCAGTGGAGACACACATTCATTACACATTACAATGTCAATTTTTATTCCTTTCTGCAAGTCACTGAAATTATAATTTTGATCTGCATGCTGCTAAAATTTTTTGCAAAATACCTGGTCACAGTTTATACTGTCTCTAATAACTGTGTAATTACACATTAACAATGCATGCAAAAACAATGTAACTACTAGTAATGTATCCCCTGTTACAGACAGATTATTTTAGTGCAGAGGGTGCAAATACATATTTAACAGCAATTACACAAATGTATGATTCATAACTAAAACAGCATATTTTCCTCTTGGGTAATTACACATGTTTAATAGAGAAAGTGATTTTAATAACTGTTCTTCTTCCAACAGGACTTTTTTGATTGTAACAGGTCTGTAATTACCTATAACATAAAATTACTTACAGTGCATCTGCACAGGAATTACCAAATTCAATCAAATTCAGTGTAGTAACAAAAAATATTCCACAAGTTACAGGTTGTAAGTGGACAGTTCATGTGTTTTGTAGGTACAGTGAAATTACAGACTGGTAATCCAGACACTGCTTTTAAGTTATACAACACATAGATTTTAATGAATTGCATACATTTACTTTTAAAGGTGTGTTCCTGTATGAATACCATCACATTGCAGAATTGATTAAAGCTAAATATTTGATAGATCTCAGGAATTCTACTACAGCTGGCTAAATATTAGGAAAATTGCTGTATCCTGTGCAGATGCAGTGTTAGAGTTAGAAAGGTCTTGTTAGAAGAAAACCTGTTCACTCTATCACACAAGCAATTACATGACAGAAAATATCCTACCACAACTATCAATACACACTTGTGTAATTACACAGATAAAATACTGAAATCGATACATGTGTATTTACATAAGCTGTACTTCTGTAATCTATTTGTAGTAAAGTAATTCTATTGCACAAAAGATATTCATCTGTAGCACTGGCATTCAATGAACACCTCCTCTTGCACCCCAACTTGAAGCATAGCCACAAGTCTGCCAGACCATCACAAGTGGTTTTACTGTCATAAGTAGTGTCAGCAGCTGTCTAAGCATTTCCGGTAACACTTTACTCTAGGGCACTGTTTGGAAAGCTGTATGTCACCTACATAAGCCCTTAATGACAACTGAGAGAAACATAAACATTTATAAATGCTTATTCCAAAAGGCATCAGCTGTCATAAAGACTGCTTTGGTCAACGTTGATGCCACGTTGGCATAATAACTATGTCAAGTTACATATTTTTGATGATATTACATTGTGTCATGACATTTTCTGGTGTAAAATAACATAGCATGTTATCACAACTAACGTTGAAGCCCTTTCTGTTTTTCGGTATGTCAGTGTGGTGTAGTGCTGAAAAGGTGAAATAGCTTGCCAAATGAGGCAGTTGGTAAAACTGAACAAAATTGAGAGTTTTAAAAAGATCTCAAGAAATTTGAAGAGTAACAATGACATGTAAATCTTCAGTGTAATAAAGAAAAGTTTTTTACAGTGAATAAATTCAGTGAAGATTTTGACACTAATGTTTTTTTACCATGTTAATGACACAGTTACAATGCATTACGCAATATTTTTGTAACATGGCTGAAGGAATTCACTTCTTTTCAGCCACACAAGCAGTAATGAGATTGCACACTGATGTTGGGCAATTAAGCCTGACATTAATCAAAGAAAAGGGTCTACATAGAAAATGAAGTACAATTCTTGTGTATAGAATTTGATGTAGAATTGTATTCTATCATGGATTGCTGAGGGTCATTGCTCACAGAGAGAGCTGTGTGGTTTTCAGCTTGTTAAATTCTTAGAACAGACATCATGACAGGGAAGGCACTGAAAGTTCCGCAATTTCCCTGATAGTTTGTCCCTCATTATCAGCTCTGCAGCTCTGAACTGAAGGAGCAATTAAACAGGTAAGTCATTTTCATTCAAATACAACCCAGATGTTCTTTATCCTAGTTTTATTTAGCTTTTATTCATGTAAATCACTTTTGTGTATAAAATGTGCTGTATAAATAGACTTTACTTGCCTATATGATGCCTGATGGCCAATGAGAGCAGTGGTCTTTAGCATACAAAATCAACCTTGTGTACTAAACACATTCAAAATATACAGAATACAATCAAGATTTTTATATTGTTTCTGTGTATAAAGGAGATAAACTGGACAACACTGGACATCATCAGCTTGTCTATTTATCTCATCAGATTTGAATTTGACTTGGGTAATGTGATTCAGATGTGAGCGTTCAGCTGTACAGATGCCAAATTTTGATGCATAGTTCAGGACTACTATATATTTCATATTATATAAATTCAAAGTGTATACAGTCACATGAAAAGTTTGTGTGCCTCTAATCAAATGAGGTTTTGTTTATTTCCTAAGTGAAAATAATACAATTCTACACATTTTAATGCACACTTTATGTTTATTTAGCTGAATTTATCATACCAGAAATAATGTGAACTGTGCATAATATAGAGCACATTTTTCCCAATCTAAGTTAAACTCTTCAAATAAGTAAACATTTGTTATAAAATGTGTGCCTTGTACAGGATGTGTTAACTTCCAACAAACCAATTAAATACTACTTTCTTATCAGTAGGCAAGAGAAGCACATTTTTCTATTTGTCTTTGCTGTACAGAATCAAGAGTCATCATGAATTCAACCCCAATGGCAGAAACAAAGAACGACGCCGTGAGTCAGACAACAAGTTCCTCATCTTGCAGGGATGCAGCGTGTATTTTTTATGCAGTAGCAAATGTGATCATCTGTGTCCTGGGTGTTGCTGGAAATGGTTTGGTGATCTGGATTGCAGGGTTTAAGGTGAAGAAGTCAGTCGTCTCCACCTGGTACCTGAGCCTGGCAGTGTCTGACTTCATGTTCTGCTGCACTCTGCCCTTCTGGGTTGTCTATAGGGTCAAAAATAAGTGGTTCTTCGGGCGCTTCATGTGCAAGTCCAGTTCCTTCATGAGGTGGCTCAACATGTACAGCAGCATCTTCCTCCTCGTCATCATCAGTGTGGACCGCTGTGTGCTTGTTATGTTTCCTGTGTGGGCTCAGAACAAGCGCACAAAAAGAAAGGCCTCTGTGATAGTCATGCTAGCTTGGATCATTGCAGCAGCATTAAGTGCACCATCAGCTGTTTTTCGAGAAATTCGTTATGATCAATACAACCAGACTTCAATGTGTAGGAACAATTACAATAATACAGAACACTACATTGCTAACAAAGCCTGTCGATTCATTTTTTTATTTATGGTCCCGTTCATGATCATTATCATTTGTTATATATTCATCATTCGAAAGCTGAAGTCCAACCAGACAGTAAAGTCCAAAAAGCCTGTTAAGATCATGACGGTGCTGATTGTTACTTTCTTGATCTGCTGGCTGCCTTATCAAACTCTTTCTCTGATAAGATTATTCATGCCACGTGTTCGTCCTGTTCACACTGCATATGTATTTAGTCTCCTTCTTGCCCATGCCAACAGCTGTCTGAACCCGTTTCTCTATGCATTCATGGGAAAAGACATTAAGGAGCAATGTTATGCACTTTGGTCAAAAATTGAGAATGCAGTGAAGGAGGAATATGATCAGAACACCGTCCAAGTAACAGATACCTCAAGCAGTTTACCAAGAGCAATCACTCTTTTCCAGTTTGTGCACCACGCTTAATTTTTTAAGTAGGAAATTCCTTTCATTTAGTTTGCCATTGCAGCAGTATTTTCCACAAAAAAAAAGAAAAAAAAAAGAATCTTGCAAAAAAATCTTCAACATCATATTTCAAGTTATGCACTTGTATGTAAGAGGACTGGCTAAGTAGCATATGGCCTCCTCTATGTGGCTAAATTTGTGTTAATATTCTCCACCTATAGTAAAAGTTGCATTTACTATAAATTTCATCACTTTTGAACATTCAATAAAAATATTTTACATTTTTACATTTTTCAGTTTATTCATTTTTAAGGCACCAGAGTTCATCATTACCCCTAAGTTAACTATATAAAAAAACACTTGAAGTAAGATGCCTAAAAATTTTAATTTTAAGAAGATCTCAATTTTTACAGGGTAACCACTAGGGGTGATATTGGACACACATTGAGATTTTGATGTTTTTCCTACTCTACACAATGATGTGCTTGATAATTAGTTCATTAGTTGAATCACGTGTGTTTATTGAGACAAAGCACAAAAATGTAAATAGTGTTTGGTTGCTAGCGCTAGGATTGCAATCCCATGCTGTAATGCACAGAAGGGTTCTCCATCTCTTACTATCTGTTTTGAGTTAGCTTGGGAGATTTTTTATTAGCTGCCATGGAGATGGAAAATACAGACTTGGAAAAGATTTTTCAATATAGAGCTTTAAACATTAAGATCACCAATACTAGTTCTCTCTTTGCTTTGTTTTACCCTATTGTATAATATACTTCTAAATAAATTTGCTGTACTATAAGCCATGATAAAATACAGGTAATGGGATGCACAGCATGGGGTGAATAGTTTTTTCAGCAGCAAAGTAGCCATGGCCCGACTTACTGATTTAAAGTTGTGCCAAAGAACTTTCTAGTCTAGTCTATCTGTATTACAATACACACTATAACAATAAACTTGATCTCTGCTTCTTTTTCATTTGTCTAATTTTGTGCTCATCTGAACTCAACTCTGAGTCCATAAGGCTGTTCTCTGCAAATTTCGGAAACACACAGATGAAATTCAGTGTGTTCTGTTTTGCAACACAGACGTCGCTATGTAACTGCTACGAAATAAAAAGAAGATGCCTAAAGAAAAAAATAACTGAGAGATACAGTCTACAAATCTCCTGTAAAACAACCTACTCTTCAAATCCCATTCATGGGAATAACGTGGATTTCCTGATTTAGTGAGCCATTTACACGTTTCACTCACTCATACATACTCTTCTGGAAGAAATGTCAGGACAACCTTTCATATTAGGTACTATTTGTAAGAAATGGGCAAAGATTTGTTGACTTGGTGTCTGTTTCTCATTTTATTTTTCCTAAAGACACACAGTTATATCTGGCTTACTCACTAGATAATTACAGTCCAATAGATTCACTGTGTCAATATCTGAAGCATATAAATAACTGGATGAGCCACTATTTCCTCAGTTTGATAAGGACAAATCTGAGATGTTTGGCAACAAAGAGAAGAGAGTTGATATTAGTGAACAACTCAATTCTCTGAAATGTTGGTGTTCTAATAGACTCAGTTTTCATCTTTACTGGCCTGCCAAAGCAATCACCAAAACAGACAGCCTGCTATCATCTTAAATATAAAGCTGAAAGCAAGGGTTTGGTGTCCTGGTAAGACCTAGGGAGGATCATCCAGCTTTATCTCCAGTAGGATGGACTACTGTAATGGTCTCTTAACTGGACTTCCCAAAAAACATTAATCAACTACAGCTCATTCAGAACGCTGCTGCTAGAATTTATCCCAGAACTGAAAGAACAGAGCACATTACACCAATTCTAAAATCTTTAAACTGACTTCCAGTTAGTTAAAGAGTAGCTTTTAAAATACTGTTACTAGTTTATAAATCACTGAATGGTTTAAACCCAGAATACATTTCTTATATTTTTAAAAAATATAAACCAAGTAGTTATCTTACGGAAACAGGTCTGGGTATAGAGCCGACAGTTCAAACGAAACACGATGAAGCAGCATTTAGCTGTCATGCTGCTACAACTGGACCTGCAAGATTTTAGACGTGCCCTAAAATAACAGTTTTCAGGTTCAGGTTACAAACATTTCTCTTTTTATGTGCTTATGATTGATGACAATGTGCCTTTAAGTTCTTTTACACTTTATTTTTTCTGCACTTTACCTTTCTCTTTATTCCCTTTAATGTTTTACCATATTCCTACAGAAATTTATCTGCTATAAGCTAAATATTAAAGTATATATACAATGCTGCCTCCAGACGTTTCTCCGTTCAGCCAGTTTTGAAGGCAGTGTAGATTCCAGGCTCCACTCCGCATGGGCCAAAACACTGTAGACTTCAGATTTCACACTGCCTCATTTAACACACCTGATTTAATCCATCAGCTAATTAGCAAGGCCTTCATCAACTGGATCCAGAATGCCAGATGAGGGTAAACACTAATCTCTGCAGCACTTTGCACTGGAAGGTCCCCAGTGTGCCTAGTGTAGATACATCCTTCAGTGCCTTAAATGTCCCATTATCCTTTGTGTCAGCACTGATTCAGTTCTGAAAAAAATATCAGAAAAAACAGCACATGCACAGTGGAGGAGAGTTTTGTTTACAAGTAGAGTACTTTTTCTTCGGATAAAAAGTTCAGCGTGCTAGCCTTCTTTAAAGACTGCTTTTTCTGCATTAAAAAATGCTGATGTCTAACACTAAAAACTAAGAGTAAGCTGTCATACACTATTGGGACACAACTCCTAATTATTGAGTTAGGGTGTTTCAGCCACACTCATTGCTAACAGGTGGTTAAAATTTAGCACATAGCCTTGCAGTCTTGATAGACAAACATTGGCAGTAGAATTGGTCGCACTAATGAGCTCAGTGACTTTAAACATGGCACTGTCACAGGATGCCACCTCAGCCAGTTTGTCAGATTTCTGTCCTGCCTGTCAACTGTAAGTGCTATTATTGTGAAATGGAAACAGCTAAGAGTAACAAAAGTTCAGCCACAAAGCTGTAGACCATGCAAACTCACAGAGTGGGGCTGCCGAGGGCTGAAGTGCACAGTGCTGTTGTTACACTCACTAAAGAGTTCCAAATTGCCTCTGGAAGCAACATCAGCAAAAGAACTGCCAGTTAGTAGCCTCACGAAATTTATTTGAGTTAAAAATGCTGCCACTGGACTCTGGAGCAGTGGAAATGTATTCTGTGGAGTGATGAATCACACTTCTCTATCTGGCAGTCTGATGGATGAGTCTGGGTTTGGCGAATGCCAGGAGAACGTTACCTGTCTGACTGCAGTGTGCCAACTTTAAAGTTTGGTGGAGGAGGGATAATGCTATGGGCTTGTTTTTCAGGATTTGGCCCCTTAGTTCCAGTAAAGGGAAATCTTAATGCTTCAGCAGACCAAGATATTTTGGACAATTGTATACTTAATATTTGTATGCTGTTACTTTATACTTTGCTGTCTGGCTGCTTTATCAGTAGGATAATGAGCTACCTGTAGTGTGAGTGCCTAACTTGTAATATTAACATTTAATATTATCTTAGTGTTAATGCACTGATAAAAGCAATGCATTTAATTTAATTGATTCAAATGTTTTCAAAATTACCTCATGATGCAAAAACATAAAATAAAATTTTTGTTTACTTTTAAGTAAATTCAATGCATTTTAATGTATGCAAAGAAGAACATTGTTGACCACTGTTTTATTTTTGTCCTTTTGTCACGACAATAAACTAAAATATGTCTAACTTGGCCAACCCATTGTGAAAGTTTGGGTTAGGCCAGGGCTCGCCAACATGTGGCTCTTGAGCCGTATGCAGCCCTTTTACTGCCCTGTTGCAGCTCCAAAGCAGAATTAGATTTTTAGGTAAAAATAAAATAATCCTCCTTTGCAGTAAAATAAAGCTCTGCTGATCGTTCAACACAGTTTTAACAATAAATAATCTTAAACGTTGGAGTTAATGTATAACTTCTAATTCACCCTTTAACCCTGAAGGTTGGCACGCAGATTGCTGGTCACCATAGCAACAATAACAATCTGGCCTAATAGCTAACGAAAAGGCAAAGAGAGAGATTTAAGATGAACATTGATAATTTGGTCACAAAAAGACTTATTTGCATTTATAAGCTCTCAGCTGGTTTCCTGATAGGTTTAATCTGCAGCGAGAAACTATCAAACACTAAAAAGTTGCGAAGGCGAAGTCAGCTTCTTTTTATGTTCCACTTTAAATAGGGCAGCAGTTCTGGTGCCTTAGGCACCATTTAAGGTGGAACAGGAAAATTCTAACAAAAAGGTGGTGAATGAAAAGCTGACTTAAGCCTTGTAAAAAGATATATGTTGAGAGACATTTTACAAGGAACTATTCTACTTTTGCAAAAAACATTTTTTGCTGGTGATGCGAGAAAATCAGATACAGCTGAGCTAAAGCTTAAAGTAGAGCAAAGTGTTAATGTTAATGTTAATGTTGAAAGGTCAAAATGGCTCTTCTAACAGAACTCTTCAATTTAAAACTTATTAACCACAAAATATGACATAAAAATCTACAATATGTTTGTACAGCTGAAGACTTGTATAACAGAAGAATGGCAAAAAATTCTGCTTTCAAAAATAGATCAGCTTGTGTCTTCAGGTGCCTTCATCTTTTTTCAGTGTGTTGCAGACTTCAGATTTGGAATATATGTATATTTACAAAAACAATTCAAAACACAGTTCATTTAAGATGTATATCTCAAATATGCCAAGTTCTCATATTAAAACAATATTATTAGCAGAAACCTGTCATATATTTATTCCTTATAAATGTACAATATAGACATCCATTACACATTACAATGTCAGTTTATATTCCTTTCTGCAAGTCACTGAAATTATTATTTTGATCTGCATGCTGCTAAAATATTTTAGCAAAATACCTGGTCCCGGTTTATACTGTCTCTAATAACTGTGTAATTACACATTAACAATGCATGCAAAAACAAAGTTATTACTAGTAATGTATCCCC